TTACTTACAAATGTGAAAGTTTATAAATATGTTTAGATGTTTGTTATTCGATTACTCTTAAACGGAATGGAAATTTTAATGGAATTTGGTATAATTGTAGACTGTTATACCTGTATGGGTGTGTGTGTAGAATATGTCTTATATTTACACATAGGATATGTTTTGTCTTAATGTCAATTAAATATATATATATATTTTACAACACAGGGGGCAAACCAGCATGCGGCTTACCTAATTGTAAGTGACTACTGCCGCCTATGGTCACCCACAAAACACCAGCGGCATTGCAAGTGTGCTGTCGGCCTTTTAAAAAAGAATATAGTCTTTTCTTAAAGGTTATGTTGTCGTATCGGTTCGGAAATAAAAATAAATCTAACAGTATTTTGTTCTTATACCACTGAGTTGGAAACAAGCATGTGGCCCGCCTGATGGTAAACAGTTTAGTTTATGAATAAGCACAATATTAAGTACTATAGGCATTGGCTACAAGTTATTAGCCGTGATATGTAATTTTTAAAGAATACCTTATTTCAATCTATGTTGTGTGGTCTTGATATAGAATGGGCCAACATTTCCTTTCCCGCAGGCATCGTAAGTGGAAACTAAGGGAACGAGAGATGGGCAGCAGCATCTCTCTTAAAACATCACCAAAAGCCTAATTGCGGTTGCCAATCCGCTTGCCAAGCGAGGAAATTACTGGCAATAACCCCATAAAGGAATAAAAAAAGAAAAGGAAGCCTTTTCAGCAATGGTCAGTGAACGGCTGATATGATGATGATGATGATGATGGTGATGAAAAAAAAAATTGTAAAATTAACCCTTAATTTGGCAGAACTCTTTTTTTATTTTGTGAATAATATATGTTTTAGGATGTAGGACCTTGTAAAAAGTAATAAAAAAAAAAACATATTCATTCCCTTTTTGAGAAAATTCATGCCCATCGTGGCGGATATAGCCAAAGTAGGGTAATAAAACAATATTGTAACATTTGAATGACAGATTTTTTACAGTTTGTATTTGTGTTCGGTGTAGCGGACAATATCAAAGTAATGGTTTAATACCTATTTGGTAATTATTAGTACGTTATCAGGTCTCTTCCGTAGTGAATTTCCAACGAGGCAGCCATATTTGTCAACGAATTTCCTATAGAAGTGGTCAAATGATAACTTGTGAATGACAGGATACAAAAGACAACATTAAATAACACTTCCGTGATTATCAAGTCAAGATAGTGTCTTTTAATTTTTCCGTACAAATTTTTAGATATGTCGTAGACAATGGAAACTCTATGAAGTGTCAAGGTTACTTTAAATAAGGGTTTCTTTGTATTTATTAGGTGTTGAACTCTAAAAATTGAGTTTATATTATAAAAAATATAAAAAACGTTATTATTATTAGGATTCTACATAACCAAATGACAAATTTTTAAATAAGTATCCTATATATAGTATAATATTATAAATGCAAAAGTTTAGGAGGATCGATGGATGTTTGTTGCTTTGTCACTGCACAAACTATTAAACAAATTCGAATTACATTTTGATACTCGTGTATGTTATATCCTAATTTAGCACATAAGATACTTTATATACTAATTTACGCAAGTGAAGTCGTGTAATACGACTAGTAAATCAAGTCTCTTTGACATGCCCATATTTTTAATATATTTTTGTTATTTGCATTATTATTTCATTGTTATTTACCACATTCATATCCTTTCTATATATAATTTAACATTGTTTGCCAACTGTTTTAACCATGCTGTGTGTACACCTGTCTGGGTCTTAATCTAGTTCATACTATTGTCTTTCTATAAATGTTTTTAATGTTATTGATAGTACTCTATGTATACCTTTCTAATTAAAAAAAAAAAAAATATGGCGCGTATTTGTTATTGCGTGAAAGTGTATGTACATGTTATAGAGGCGCTAATAATATCCTATCCAGCCTTCATTTTCGATGCACGTGTATTTCTACCTTTTTTATTTTAATGTAATATCATTGCTCATACTTGGGTGGCCTCAATACAGTTAAATAATTTAAAAAGAAGACTAAAAAAAATTAAACCTGTATCTACGGCATGGATAATTTAAAACCCTATTAATATGGCTGCATGGAATACGTTTTCGGCTCGTGTTTTATTTTTTTATTTTTTATTTATCACACAGTGGCAGGCACAGAGCTCTCAGATATGTTTTTTTTTCACTGTCTCTTTAATCCTATCCTTTTTGGATGATATGTTCTCATTATGTGTCAGTGTTGGATTATGGATGGATGATAAAGATAAGGATTAGGTAATAATATTTTTTTTTTTTAGAAATGTTTATATTTCATTTCGTATTTATATTATCGTGAGCATATTTTATTTATATTATTTTTAATTATAACTTTGTAGGAAAAATATTAAATCTATGTTATGGGATCTTTCGCATCGGGTACGGGGCGTGAAGGTAATTTTTGATTAATTGTTATTTAGGTATTTATTTGTTATTTATGTTTTATTATTGTAAAATAATTTAATAATATTATTGCATGCAATTATTGTAAGACATTTAACGCAAAAATATTGTACAATAATATTTTATACTGTAATTAAAGGATTTGAGTTTTTTAAATATATATTTACATTTATGTAAACATGCATTTATGGGTAGAGTGTTTGATAAATAGAAAGATAATTTATTTGCATTACTTACAGCACACAAATTATAACAGACACAGATGTACATAAAAAGCGAGATAAGAGAAATGATTAAAAAAATAAAATAATTATTAAATTAGTTTATTGCACTATTATAATTAAATAAATAAATCAATAATACATTGAGCTCATTTCCCATTTGGGTTAGCTGGAAGAGAAGTAACTCATTTAGAGTTAAGCTTACCGTTGTAAGTTTTTATGTATTACTAATGTGTATAATAAAGTATAAATAAATAATTTGAGGAAATATAGAGGTGTAGTATAATTAAATATTTAATCTTTAATCGGTTGTAGTTAGAAAAGGCGAGATTTTTAAATGTTGCGTAAGTAAGCAAATTGTTTCGATGTTATACGGTTGTGACCTAGATTCGGTTTTTGGTTAACAACATTACGCAACTCCGCTCAGTCGGTTACAACCGAGAGACCACCGTGGCTTCGATGCGAGGAAAAAAGTAACACTCGCTCCGGAAAGAGGTTTTTTTTTTATTTATTAGAGATGAACAGAATCGACCTCAGTGTAGGTCGAATGTGATTACGTACGTTTATTAGCATTTATAAGGCTTTTTGGAGATTTTAAATTTACCATGTTGTTTTCTATTATAGCATTTATACGTCTGTAAATATTATTTTTAAAGTATTTTAAATTAATTAGATTATATAGATAGAGCGTCGAGTCTCAAAAACGGGTCAAATTTTTTCTTAGTGTTTTATATACTTACGCAAATAATGGGTCTTGACGTATCTATATTTAATTATTTAAGAAATAAAATGAGTTTTAATGCGTGCAAAAGGTGCAACAATTATAAAAACAAAATACATATAGAAGTTATGAAGGAATCACTCATAACTGTTTATCACGCAAAATTTTATGAAAAAGTTGACCCACTTTTCTCGAAGCATTTGTATGGAGACACTCTATCTATATAATCTAAGACTATGACTTGCTTCTTCGCTTACTTCTTTTTAAATGGATGGATGAGTATCCTTTATTCACATTATAGAATACGGGGAATAAAGCGAGTCCACTAATGATTGTAACGGTACAGTTGTATACTCGTAAGTACAGTGAGGCGGTCTTATTGCTGAGAGCAATCTTTTCAAGAGATTATTGTACGATTAGGTATGATAATACAATAATACATAATTAAGAGAGTTCGAAATTTAAAAATTTAAAATTTTTTGGTTCTCTGTCACTTACTCGAAGATATTTTTTACGGAAGGTTTGTATGCAAAATTTACGCCGCTTACAGCGTAAATTTTTAATGTAGGACAAATTTACTTTATTTCATAATCATCATCATCATCATCTTGAGCCTTTATCTGTTCACTGATAATCTATTAGTCGGTTTATGGTGGTTGGCAGATACACCTCTCTCATAGAATGCCACAAGGACTGGGTTCTGAGCCACCTGCATCCAATGTCTCTCTGTAATGCATTTGGGGTCGTCACTCCATCTAGTAAGGGGGTCGTCGTACACTGAGTTTGCCCATACAGAGTCGCCACTAAAGAACCTTTCTTCCCCACCCGGTTGTCGGTTCTTCGAGCTATGCGACCAGCCCATTGCCACTTTAACTTGCTTATTCTTCGTTTTTTACTTTGTGTATTTGGGTATTATATTGGCATATATATTTATCATGGTTTTGTTTTAATTAATGAAGGATAGGATATATCCGTTTATGCTAAATGATGATTTAGCAATGGAGAATGAAACAATGAAAGGGTAGATAGAAATAGGCTAAGAGATAGGTTTAGACAGAAAGCGTCTCAGAATCGGCCCTAATGAGGTCAGGTGAGATGGCCCATTGTGGAAAATTCACTAGGAATTATCTACGATAGTTACGGGTGGGACCGCGTGGAGGTCGATCTGATATATTGATATAATGGGGACTAACGGCCCCATTACTAATAGTCCCTTTCCACAGCGATATTTTAGTATCCAATATTGAAAGGAGTGTCTACCATCGTCAGTTGAATCGATACAAATTTATTGTTAGCAATATTTTACGTCAATGGAGAACTCATGAGAACTTTAAATTAACACAAAGCTTTTAGTGTTAACCAGAACTCGAACTTACGAGATTTTGGGTACATAAATTGGTACATAAATCTAAGTATATTGAATCATTATGTAGTAAAGTTTTTATTCATAAGTTTCCGCTATATGTTTTGTTAGGGAATTTCACAGTTATCCGTTTTTGGATGTTACATTTTATATTAAGTGTATTGTAATAAGTTAAAAAATTTTGTTGTGGCGGAGTGTATTTTATTTCCATTTAGTTAACTCAACAAAAGACTTACTTTTCAGCGCCCACAACCTCCTGTCAACTAGTCCTTCAACGTAGAGCTGCATGTCTAGCTTGCAGTCTCCGTCCACGACGCTCTGCAGTTCCTTCCATTGCTTCACAAGGATCTCCGCGTCAAATATTCTTAGCATATTCTCGATTCCCAACAAACCGGTCGTATTCGAGCTATCCCGTTTCAAGACTAATTTCGATTCGTTCAACGTACTCCGTATCGAGTCATTCAGTTTACTCAAAACGTCTTTGTTGAGTTTTGATGTAGTTTGCTCCACCGCTTTGGTGGTTTTCACAATGTGCTGCACATTATGTGATGCTTCCGTACTGGAAGGCTTTCTCGCTGATTCCACATTTTCATCGAAAGCCTCAGCAAAGGACAAACCCTCCTCGTCAGCGAACAAATGGAACGAGTCCTCGGTCGCAGGTTTTTCGTTTCTACTCGTATTCGGAGTCAATATCATGGAGCTTAAAAGGTCAGCTGTCAGCGGACCCTCATCGTTGACACCGCCTTTGGCGGATGCCTTTTTAATATTCTGAAAAGCGTCTATCAATGCACTTCTTAACTTCTCCTCTCTCGCGTTCTCTTTACTCTCACTGGACGGCAGTTCCGCGGAATTAACGTAAATTACAGCACACAAAAATAAAAACACTAAACGAGACATTTTCGAAAAAAAGAACAATTATTATTTTTTTCAAACAACCACACGCATACTGGCAACACGATTCTGTATTCGAAATTGGCGCGCGTTTCGGTGTCAAAGGTGCGCGCGCAGCGTCATAGTTGTAATGCGACTGGTGGCGGCGCGTCGACGCAGGGGCTGTGACATAACACCGTTACGAAGTTATAGTGGCACTTTCACTGAGGCGGGCGCGCGTCTCGAGAGCCTCGCCTCGTCCACAGGTGTACCGTATCCTTGTAGGGCGCGGCGCGAGCTGCAGCGATAGTGTCGTACCACTTTTTGTCGGTATGTGTACAAAGCAACAGAAACCGGCCAAGAGCGTGTCGTATGTAGGCACACGGTTACAAGCACGTTTGAGCGCGGCCGTTAGCCGACTTCCATATCGCATCTGCTGAAGCTGGACGAACCTAATTAGATATATTCTCATTTGGAATGATCTCTCAGATCTCAAAATACTTACCAAGTGATTGCATTTGGTCATCGCGTAGTGACAGGTGATGGAGTATATTGTAAGAGGTAACTAGAGTATTAAAGCACAATGCTTAAAGAAAGGATTTTTAAAATAGAACCCTTTATTCTTCTCTATTCTCTTGCTTTCTGTTTTAAGAGAATCAAATTCTCTATTTCAATTGTTCTTAATTTCTAGCAATACACCGTCTCAGATTGTATCCCATGTCTCACTCACTTCATTTTCACATATCATTATTATTTAAAAAGCCGGCTGCACATCTCCAATTCCTCTAGCCTTTCAACTGTGTCATGCAAAATGGTGGAAAATCCACATCTGTGATGAGAAATAAAATGGGATCACCTATAAATTACCTTTTATTTTTCAATTATTAAAAAACTAAGACCTTGCTGGATATAAAATTATATATTTTTTGCACAATATTATATACTTGATAAAATAAAAATAAAATGGCTTATGTTCCAATACATTTTTTTTTATACAGCACTTGTTTATAAACATGGACCAAAAAAGTCTCTCTTCAATTGACACTTAAGTGGATCTCCTATTTCATTATTTTACGTACATTCTTGGCGTTAGGGACAAGAGGTGGTTTGTTTACAATAATTTAAGCTTATCGCCAAGCTAGTTTGGACAAAACAGTATATATGACATTATTATCTATATGTCCGCTCAGCGGACGCGACACAGTTGAGAGGCTAGTGTTGCTTTCTGTCAGATGAGTCGCATGCTCGTTTGCTCCCTGTGTTATAAAAAAAACTTTCGCTACTAACCGAATTAGCATAAGTTAATAGATCAGGTGGGATTAGTATTTTATTTCATCTTTTATTCATTAAAAAACCTTAGTTTCGAAGTGATTGCTCTTTTTTAGGGCACAGCATAAAGCTGAGTTGTGACCATTATGTGTTACTGTGGCACACGCATGAAGGGGAAAAATTCTTACTAATTTTATGCATTTGGTTTTTGTTTTTTTTTTTTATTTTTGTACATGTATACTTTTTTTATCTTTTTTCACTGTGCATTTATGTCTCTTGTTATTTGTGTGCTGTAAGGAAAGCAAATAAATTATTTATCTGTCTATCTATGTATCTATGATTAAAAGTGGTTTGCACAAGAGAATTTACGGGTGAGGATGGAATGGTAACCCCGCCTGCGCTACGGGGCACCAGTGAAAGGTGACAGGTGAGGATGAAGGCAGGTCAGTTGGCCCATAGTGACCACTTGAACAAGAATTAACCACTATTGTTTCCAGGGGGAACCGCGTGGAGGTCCACCTGATAGGGTGTATTGCTGGCAATGAGGTTGTTAAATCTCATTACTAACAATCCCTTTCCTCCTCAAATTACAAGAGTATTAAACCAAATCACCTTCCTGATTTCGTTTAATTTTCTTTTTTTTTCTATACAACTTAGAATAGCAAATAAGCTGACGGCCCACCTGATGGAAAGTGGTAACCGTCGCCTATAGACATGAGCAGTGTCATGGACATAACAGAGTATACTGTTACGCCCATGATACCTCCCATGCGTTGCCATTCCTGAGGACTCAGGTGTTATTCCTCTATACCCTGTAAATTCACACCATATTCCATCCTTCAAACCAAAACACAGCCATGCAAACACAACTGCTTCTTCTTGTGCATGCATATTTAATGTTCGTGTTTGGAGGTGCAAAAGCTAGCACAAACATATCTGAATTTGCTGTAAATTTTGAAATATATGATTTTGAATGTGGAATTATTGGGAATGTCAAGAGAAACTGTTATTTTTTTGTGAAACATTCATTTCTATTCAGAAAGGTATTTTTTTATCGTATCAGAAAATGTTTCTATTGAATAGGTACTTAATATTGTTTTTTCTGTTTTATTTATTATATGCGCAGTTTTAAATGCATATCTTCTTCTATACTTATAATAAATCTGTAGAGAGGTCAATTCTGTACATGAAATATATTTCCAAAATAACTATCAGGCGGTGATTAGTGATCGATACTGATGCCAAAAATGCAATCAGTAAAATTTTTGTCTGTCTGTCTGTATGTTCGTTATAGAAACAAAAATTACTCGATGGATTTTAACGAAACTTGGTACAATTATTCTTCATACTCCTGGCCAGGTTACAGTATACTTTTCATCACGCTACGATCAATAGGAGCAGAGCAGTGAAGGGAAATGTGTCTGTTACATCAAAACCATTGAACCGTGAGGTAGGACATAGGCTACTTATTTTACGAAAAACGACGGAAACGCGGACGAAGTCGCGGGGAACAGCTAGTATACTAATAATTAGCAACTTCATAAACAATACCTCTATATTATTGTTTACCACAATGATGAACATGAACATGTTCATCCAATCAACTATTATTTCAACATATTTTCGAAAATTGTGTAATAAACTCGTTACTCTAGCAACGTCTTGGCGTCCACGATGAGCCCAAAACTCAGCGGTAGAATTATCCATTGGCTGTTACTAAGCCTTCGGCCATTATCGTCGCAATTGTTACGATATGGTTTATGGTGGCAACTCGATCACATTACTGCAAAGCGAACGTCACATGTTTGCGAAAGCCTCACACGTTGTATAATGTGGAATTCCAATTGCGTCCTTGGTTTATTATGCAATGGTGACATATGTACGGAATTTAGAACATTTTATCCTTGACTTAGAACTTTCAATTGGATGCATGACGTGCTTGCTACCTTATTTGCACAAATTTTGTTTATCTTTGCCTTTTTTTTTTGATGCAATTTTTAAAAAGTATGACTTTATTTGTACGTCCGTTAATGCGTCTGTCAGAGATATTTTTTTCAGCGACTATTAAGAGTCTTGCTTCAATTTTATTGTTAGATAAATAAAAAACTGAAAAGTTTTTTTTTTTACAATAAGGTACAAAATTATTATAGTTTCAGTTACCAGTTGAGGTAGAGAGTTAGTGTATGGAATTCCTTGTTCATTTGTACAGTCTTTCATAAGTTTTGTTTGTTGAAAGACAGTATATTTTGTTCTCCTGTTTGTATCGTCCTCTTGTTCGGGTGCTGCGGCAGTGACAGCGGAAGCAATAAAGAGGCGTAAATACTCACATCTGGTGGGGTCTTATTGTTTTCTGCCATTTGCTGTAGAGACGATGGGCCCGTGGGGCCCAGATGCAAAGAATTTTTATCGGACGATCGCAGCGCGCCTCATCGAGGTTACTGGTGACCCAAGAGCTGGTAGCTATTTTGCCCAAAAGATAAGTTTGGCAATCCAAAGAGGTGATGCCAGTATCTTGGGTACGCTGCCTCGGTGTGGTGCGTTGGGGGATTACTTATAATTAGTATTAGTATTTAAGAAATTTTATATTAACTTTAATTTATTGTTGTATTGTTTTTATATAATAAGAGCTATTTGTAGTACCAATATTATATTTAAAAATTGTATATCTTGTAAAGCTTCAATAATTTTAAAATATATTACCTAAACATATACGAGATTTGACTGTAACAAGTGTTTTTTAAAAAGAACCTTCATAATATGTTAATTAATAAATGTTACTATAGCCTAAATGAATATATTGAGGGGAAAGGGATTGTTAGTTATGGAGACTGAGAATCCCATTGCTAGCAATATACCCAGCCAGGTCGACCTCCTCGCGGTTCCCTCTGGAAACTATTATGGTTATTTCCTGATGAATTCATCATGATGGGCTAACTGGCCTGTTTTCATTCTCATCTATCACCCTTCACTGGTGCTCCGCCAGCGTATTCCGTTAGTGCAGGAAGGGTTACCATACCATTTTCACCCAGCAAAAAAAAAATGAAATATTAATATTAAATATAAATAATCATCATTAGTCAAAAACATTGTCTCGTTTTAATTTGTTTTGCTTCACTATATAATTTTAAATGTCGTGTTTTATGTATTGTTAAATAATGCATGTACTTGATTTATAAATGTTTCATATATTGTACGCTTGTATAGCGGGACATGGAGATGCTATTTAACCTAATAATACCTTAATTTGATCCACAATAAAAACATTTGTACTTGTAAATTAGTTTTTAATTTTTTTATGCTAAGTAGCTTATGTTTATGGAAAAATGCTATGAAAATAAATAGATACCGTTTTCAAAATTCGACGTTATGCATATACAACTTACTTATACAACAGTTGACGAATTATTATTATTTAATGTTGATAAACGATATTGTTTTTTGGGAGAACTCGAAAATATTAAGTAACATTTACGTAATTATTATATTATTTACAGAATAATAGATAGATAGATAGATAGATCGTTTATTTGTTTGTTACTAATCACACACAACATGTACATAAGAATAGACAATACATAAAACAACATAAGATTTATAAAATTGTGTTATTATGTGTGATCTGCAGCATTAAAAAAAATTACATAATCTGTACTTTATTATTAAATAGCACTGACATTGAATTTAATCTAATTTATTGTTATTAATTAATTTTTTAACATACTATTATGATATAATATTTATATTTATAATAAGTTTACTATTGTAATCTTTTGGAGGAAACAATAAAGAGTATCTGTCTATCTATGATTTTATTATTATTAATCGAATGAATAATTAACGTAATATTGAATTAGTTAAATATAATAACTTGTATCTAGCCAATAATGAATTTGCATGCTTTAGACTGCAGGGTAATCATTTGTACTTCACAATAAATGAAGATCTGCAAAAACAATATTTTGGCAAATAAATATATCTGTCTATCTATTTTTAACAACCAAATAAAAAAAAAATTCTTTGGGAGCATTTCTGTTACCTTTATGAATAAAACATGACCTATCGGTATACTGGCATGACGTTATTTTTGTTACAGTTGGCTATTTTAATCATAGATTAATGATTTTTTTTTATACCACGAAGCACAGCCCGTCTT